TTTATTTTGAGACAGATAAATTGCAAAATTGCCCAGGCTGGGTTTAAACTTGTGATCTTCTTACCTCGGTGTCCTGGGAATATAGGACATACCACCATATCTGGCTAGATTCACGTTCTTCTAACAGTTCTAGCGTGTTCATCAAAATTCAAACCTGGAAAAGCATTTTGGTTTCAAGCTGGCCTTTAGCTCCGCCTGAAGATCCTGACCAGACCCAGAAAGCAGAGCTTCCCAAAGCCTTCAGTACTTTGCCCCCTTGTTCCTGCCATGTGATAGACTACATAGAGAGCAGTCTGACATTTGCATGTTCAGAGCCCAACTCGGGTGACCAGGGCACTTGAGCCAGGTGACAAGCCAGGGGCCAGACCTCAACTCCCACAAGGCTGTGGGCCTGCTGTGTGCTTCAGCCATGAGGTGACTTTGGAGAGACAATGCCGAGGGGCCCACCTGGCATAGGTAGTTAGGCAAGCACCTGTCGCCACCTGACGAACGCAGTGCCTCGGGAAGTGAGTCAAGGCATCCAATCTGTGCTTCCTCACTCAAAACACAGTGCCGCTCTCACGCCAGCCCTTAATTCTATTCCTCCTCCTAGTTTCTTCTCGAAAGTATGTTTTGTGTGGCGTTATCCATCACCCGGGTGCCGTCAGTGAGATGTGTCACTCCTCTGTGTGTGCGTTCTGATAAAATGGCCTTAATGCATATGCAAATCTGTCTTCTCAAGAAGGAAGTGTGTGGAAACACTCACATTTGGCTCGGAGTCTTATACTGTGAAAATACTGAGGAAGCATATGCGTTAATTTTACCTTAAATTGCAGACAGAAGCCACCCACCCTGTCCCTGTCACACAGGAAAGATGGTTCGCTTTGGAGGTATCATATTTTCCATGAGATCAGCTTTCACTCAGAAGGAGGAAAGTGCGTAGATGGTTCTTTCCTAGCACGCAGGGGCACAGGTGAGCAGACAGATCTCAGCTCTCCCTCTCCATCCTTCTTCCTTTCCTCCTTTCTCACTTTTTCTTCCTTCCTTCCTTTCTCTAATCTCTTCCTTCTCCTCTTCTGTTTCCTCCTTCTTTTCCATTAGCTTCTGCTTTTTTCCCCTTAATTTTCTTCTTCTAAGTAACTTCATGCAATCAAGGATGATAATGCAGAGAACTATCCTTTTCTCTACTTGGCATTTTTTCTCCAAACAAAAGAAGCATATGATTAGGACCAGAAGAATACTTACGACAATTCTATAGTCATATAGTTGGATTATCAAAAGAAAACCAATGATGACAGCATAATGTGACATAATAGGGATTTTAAAGGCCAAGTATTACAACTGCAATTAAGATTATAAGCCCCATGAGGCGCTGCACCTCTCTGCCTCCAAAGGTGCTGCTGGGATCACATCTTGGGAGCTATGATCACATAGGAGTCAGAAGACAGACCCTGGATGGGGTGTGATTTTGCAGCAGGTTTGACCCATTTCCCTGGCTGCTTTGTGTCTCATCTCCCAGCAGCCTATCAGGTATATCCCACAAGCCTGTGACAGTCCTTGGCGACATGTTGGCTGAATGCCAAACCTAGGTCATGGGGCAAGGCGAGAAGAGGCTCCCCTCTTCTACGATCTGACAGTTGACTGAGACAAGACTGGAATAATGAGAGGCCATGATCACATGGTGAATAAGGCCCAGGGCAGAGCATGGTGTTTGCTGTGGCCTGGGGATGATGAGATGGGAGTCTAGCCTAAACCTTCTAGAGTCCACATACACAATAGAGAAGCTGCTCCTGTTGCAGGAGGCTAATCTTCAAAATATGCCTTAGGAGCCTTCCTAAGACACTTAACACAGCAACAAAGTCACTCAGCATCCGAATTACATTTTTATATTTCAATGGATTGTCATTCCAGTTCTATAAGATAGTCACTCCTTATTGCTGATCCAAAAAGTGAGGTTCAGTAACTTGTCCAAGGTCACATAGGTCCTCTGTGACTGCCTGTAGAATCCACTGGAACAGCTCCCAACTCTGCAAAGGCCTGAGTGCAGGAGTGGTCTGTACCAGGAGCTGCAGGAATCTCCATCTGTCTGAAGCATGGGGAGAAAGCGTTAGCTCACAGAGGTGAGGTTGGAGAGACTGAGAACGGGTACCAATTTAAGCCTGGAACAGAGAAGAACCAACCAGGAGCTTTAGCCGAGATGCAAGAGTCAGATTTGAAGGACTGTTTCAAGGAAATACAAGAGAGGTGAAGCCTCAGGCGGGGCCTTGGGTCCAGGTCTCACTGGATGCAGCAGCTGGAGAGGGAGAAAGAACAGACATTCTGTAGTAAATAAATTGTGGCTGTAGTCATTTTGCCTTGTTTTGTTTTGCAGTGCTGGAGATGGAACCCAGGCCTTTGCACATGCTTCACCACCGAGCCGCACCGATAGCCTGGGACCATGCTTTTCATCACCAGTTCCTGTAAGTATCTCCTCTCCTGAACTTTTCCAAACCTCTTTAATGTGAGTGGCTGCATTCAAGGCCCAGTGAGTTCAAGACTCCTTCGGCAAAAGGTTCAGGTTTAACCAAGAACCTTCCAGAGACTCCTAGAAGATTCCCTCGAATCCCTGGAGTAACCCAACTCCATGATGGAGGAACTGTTCCAGCTCCCCCTCCACCGCTTCTGACCCCCAGAGACCTTGCTTTTAACTGCCATTGTCATTCTCCGAGTGCTGTTGAAGGAAGTTCTCTAGGACCAAGCCTTCTGGAATTTCTTAATCACACACCACAATTACAGTTTAAATGTTTTAAATGCTTTCGTGACTCTAATAACCATACAACCAAACCTCCTTCTCTTTCCCATTTTGCAGAGAAGGAAAACATGGCTCAGAGAGGTTAGGTCACTCGCCTGACACCACACAGCTAGTAAGCAGCTGAAATAATGGAATCTGCTGTGCTATATACTCCCTCACCCCCCCTGCACCACTATCCACAGGAATAAACAAGTCCAAACTGAGCTATCCCCTCAGACCCCAGCCCATGACGCAGCTGCCAGAGAGAACCCCAGCAGGCCAGGCTTTTAAGAAACTCCTTACAGAGCAATTATTCCTTCCAAATATTGGAAGATAAAGGGATCAGTGTGGGCTAGGGCATCACACTGATTTGCTCATAATAGATATCATAGGTATTAAGTGCAGTTTATCCTGAGTGTAATTAGTGGATGCTTTTCAAATGTGATGATAATTGCAGCTCATTGTTTCTGCAGTAATTTAGAGAAATAAGGAACTCGACTGCTGCTCATCTCCCGGAAGGGAAGAGGAGAGTTGCTGTTCAGGAATTAGCAGATGTCAGCAGCCAAACAATGCGACAGTCACCACCACCGCTGAGCTGATGTCCCCTTTATCTGCACAAAGGACTCTGCACTAACATTCTGGGGTAAGGTAAAGCATATTTTCATCTACTTCTTTGCAACACACGCCCAGTGCATTGCAAGAATGCTTGGAAACCTGCTATCTCTTGGAACACAAGGTGTTTATTATTTTAAAATCACTGTGGATTCCCACCTCTGCTCTCTTCACTGGAATCTGGCAGTGCTTTTCTTAGAGGTGTTGCACTGGTGGTGTTTGTGGGACAATTTGGTGACCACTGGCCTAGCATTAGTCTGGCTTGCAAAGGACACAGGGCGCCTACACAGCTCTCCTCTGCTGGGTGATATAATTTCTAGATTGTCCATGAGCAAAGGTCTTTCCCGTGGTAACCCTGCTGCAGGGTGTCCAATGTCAGTCCGAGAACTGAAAATGTCTCTGAATGTTACAAGCAGTTAGCTAGTCTTACACTACTCATATCCCTAAGCTAAGCATTTTCCTTGCTCATGAGTGGATTGACACAGGCTTGGGGCATTTAGTTCACTCTTATTCCACTCCTGGGGGTGTAGGGATAGGAGAGTGGCTCCCACCATGATTTTTGTTTATTTTATAACACCGTACTATTTACTTCTCATAGCTTTTTATTTCCAATCATCCTCATGAGTAATTACATTTCTTAAGGCAGAGCTGTCTTTTGACATCTATCAAAACAAAGAAGCAAGAGAAACAAGTCTGCTAATAGAAATCCTTTTGTCAAAGCTGATTTCCACGGGGACAGGAGAGCTTTTCTGTGTGACTCCCACTGTCCAAGAACAAAATGGTCTTCAAGGTGTCAGGATCTTCCCAACAATGGCAGATGACCAGCTCAGCAATCTGAGCCAAAGGTAAAATTTCAAATTGACAGTTTTTGCTACTAAGTTCTAATGGAAAGATCAGATCTTACACAATCCAGGTCAAGTTAAGTGTAGAGGCATGAAAATGTTTTATAGCGAGAGGCCACACGTGTTTCATGCAGTCTGATCTGAAATGTCCCTTTCCCAGTATACCCAAGGTCAGACCTCCCTGACTGCATCTAGGTCCTGCACATTGTGGGCTGTGGTGGCCACTGCTGTGCACAGACCAGCTAACTGTCCACAGGGCCCTGGAAACTGAGCTCTCATAAATCTGCACATACGCATCTCCTGTCTCCCCACCCCCATCCTGGCAACCCTGGGCGCATTTCAAAGACACTAAATTTGATAACTAACACTTATTACTCATTGCCCTCTCCACAATATTCTTGGCAGGGGTTAGACACTGACATTTGCAGCTGAAAATAATGCATTGTCAAATAGGAAAACTGCAGGCTATAATTTTTAACACTTGTATCTGTTATTTTAAACATGAAACATCGCATCAGTTTGACATTAATTTATATAATGGGGACCGAAAAGGATAATGCAATCTTAGTGACCACCTCCATTTAATTAACTGACAGGGAGAGCCACTAACCAAAAATACGGAATTACCATACACAAAAACAAAGGCTGTTTGTATACTTTCCATCATGCATTATTAAAATGCGCCATGTCATTAGGGAGAATAATCAGGATGCTAGTGTAAAACCAGCCACTGATAAATGCAGACAGGAAACTTTTATGAAAGTTTGTAAATACAGTATTGTATGGAAATTCCGATGCATATTGGCTTTCCTGAGCACTGTAAAATGTTTTATTATGAAAAAAGTGGATAAGATACTTATCTTTTAAATTGGAGTTTAATATTTTATTAGTGCCAGGCACATAATTCTCATCAAATGGCAGGAAACTCTTTTTTGTATGGATATAAATGTCTAGAGTTTAATATTTCAAAGATAAGTACCTACCACTGCATCTATCACACAGCAGCTTAATGGAATTTACTTTTTCTTAAATATTTATACTGTATATGTGTTTGCTAGTCAAGTGATTACAGAGCTGTAAGGTAGAGGGTGAGGCTGGTCAGTTGTTAAGAAGAGGAGCCACACAGCAATTGGCGGGGTTTTAGTCCACACATCATTAACCTGAACAAGGAGGGAATCATTAAGTAATTCAGGCCCAACGGCTTTGAGGAGGGACAATAAGAAAAGTCTACTCTTCAAAAACAGCCTGAAAGTTTTTCTGATTTAACCTAAATTTCCAGACAACAGTTTGGAAAAATTACTTTTATTAGATTAGAACAAAAAGGGGAAGTCAGGGGTGCTTGGCTTTCAAAGGGAAATTTCATTGTGTTGAAAATCCTCCTTACATATCCCAGCCAGCTGGGGCTTTTTCCGAGGACTGAACATAGAGCTGGTCTTCAGTTCTTCAGCCCTGTAAACTCTTTCATCGGGCCTGAGAAATGCTTTCTGATCCATGCTGATACAATTACCTAGCCTTTATTGGCAATTTAGACCTGCTTTTAGGGACATTTTAGAGCAAATGATGTTTTCTTGATTTTTTTTTTAAAGCAGTGCTATTCTCTATACCTTTGGGATAAGGTAGAAACCGAGTTAGAGGCTCATTAATGGGCTGATTGTTACAGTGTGATTTTTTTGTTGTTGTGTTGATGCTACTGGAAACTGAGCGATCGACTCACAGGTATGGGCCACGTGTCGCAAGCAAAAGGGTATTTTCTTTATGTATTTGGGTGAAATATGAAGGGGGATTTACTATGGCTATACTTAGAGAGGTCTTAAAATCCTCCCATTAGTTGAAGGGTATTAAAATGGGCTCAATAAATTTTTTAATATGCACATATGCCAAGCAGAGGAGGGACCCTTCTTTGTTCTGCCGCAAGGTCCTGTCCAGCTTATGAGCCTGGGTGCATGCTGTCTATATCGAGTTTAGGGTACCCTTTACCAAAGAAGCCCTTGTACTGATAGTAAATAAAACTGACTGTCCTTAAGGGATTTCTGGGGACTTCAGTAGAGTGACATTGAAAACTGCACAGTGATGTTAGTCAGGATACAGAAGCACACAATATTTTCTGTTTTCCAGCAGTGAACTCCCTGACCTGAGATACCCAGGCAGCACTGGGTGCATCACTTAACTCAGGCACCACTCAAGTAGACCACAGCCAAAAAGGTGATGGCTGGCTGCTTTCTGCAACAAGGGAACAGACTAGGAGAAGGCTGTGCTTGGCTTCTACTGGTGCTGGGCATGTCCTGAAAGTGTCCAGCTCTGAGACCTGAGATCAGGCCTGGGAGGGACAGGGAGAGACTTGGGAGGAGGTCTCTCTTTCTCCTCCTCCCTTCTCACTCTCATCTCCCGTGGAGAGCATCAGGAAAGTGCCCCTACCGGGCAACTTTCCTGTGACAAATAAAAGCTGATAATTTAAAATGCTCTTAATCGGGCCTGTGTGAATGAGAATGAACTTGGCGACTGTAAATAAAACCTGTTAATTAAAAATGTATTCTTTTGAGAAAACAATGTTCTCCCAATCCCTGCCGGTCCCTGTTAAATGTGTTTTCCACCCTGGGCTGGATTCATACCGGTGGAGGGCAGGTGAGGCCCTCTCAGCCCTCCCTGGGAGCTCCTCCTGAGGACCTGGGGAAAGCTACTCCTTGCCGTGGCTTCTATTCGGGGCCCTTCCAGTTTCTCAGCTCCCAAGCTCCTTCCTGCTCCTCTGCCCAGCCACAAAAGGCACACCCTGTGGCACTCTGGCCTTGGCCCCTCCATCTCCTCTACCTGAGGGACCCTCCACATCCCCCGTGTGGGGCTGCTTGGAGACGTCCGCTGGCGACAGCAGTTCAGCAGTTACCGCTGACACTCCATGCCCTCTCACCTTGTTTGTTTCACCTATGGCCCTTGTTACTATTTAAAACCATCTTTACTGCTTCTGGATGGTTCCTGGATCCCACAGGGCTGTGCTATCCAAGACGCAGGGCCATCGCCCTGTCGGTTGTGTCTTCATCGCTTAGTCTGGGGAAAGGCCGCAGAAGTTTCTCAAGTCATCCTCCTTGAGAGATTGCGAAGACTCCAAAAGGAGGCGGAGCCTGAGACAGAGTCCCTCCCGAGAGGCAGCCTTGTGTCTGAGCGAGGAGGACTGCACAGCAGCGTGTACTATGCTAATGGGCCAGCAGGGGGCACTCAGGAGGCGGGCGGGAGGAAGAAACGCCCACAAAGAGGCTAAAGGTGGAGCTGGCCGTGTGCCTAAAGGAGAAAGTACATCCTTGTACAACCTCCAGTATCGCCAGTGCCTGGCAATGCCTGCGGGGTTCCAGGTTCAAGGACACCCCAGTGAAGGCTTTAGGGCAACAAGGTTTCTCCCAGCAATGGGTCATGTCCAATCGAAGGAGTGCTGGCCTTTAAACCAGATCAGGGCCACAGCCTCTTGGCCATGCCAGACTGTACTTGCCTGATCACACCAGCTTGGGGGTGTGCAAAGGGAATGAGGCTCAGTAAGATTTTCCTGTTGTGCTCTCTGGAGGTCTTTAGCCCACAGTGAATTTTTAAAAAGTAGCCAATTGGAAAAGTACCTCCAAACCAAAAAACCCTTTGGGGAAATGAGATCCCACAACCCACTCCTTAGCCTTTGGTCCAGGTACACCCTCCCCAGGCCAGAGTACAATCAGCCAGTGCCTTGCAGGGAGATTCAGGGGTGCTCGCCTCCCTCCGCTGGGCACAAGACTGTGCCTCTGTGGGTCTCCGATACTGAAAGGGGATTGGTGGAGAGATCCCTACAGTGGCTTTCCAGGCAGATGAAAAGAGTATGCTTTAAACGAGGCTTCTTCCTCTAGTGGCTACAATGAAGAAGGAGAGCACAGCTCACTGGTGTGCAGGACATGGGGGATGCAAGCCTTGGGACCCGGGAGACAGGGTGCCCAGGAGGAAACACCATTGCTTTGCAAAAAACCTTTGGCACTTCCGTCTCCACGGACCACATCCTTGTGTCTTCCCTTTCCTCATTTCCACACCACATTTTGAAAACTAAGTAAATCAAATTTGTGTACACGTAGGGTACAGAGTTGGCAGATACGGCCTCCTTTTCTGTGTCTAAATCTCATAGTCCACATATGGTGTCTCCTGCTTGATAATTCTCTGTCATCAGTGTGGCTCCCTGCATCTCTGTAAAAAACATAAATAAATAAAAATTTTTAAATTCTAAAGATGGTGCAATGAGACCTCTGTGTCAGGCGAAGCCTGCAAAGTTCGAGCTGGGTAAGAGACAAATACAAGGGAGTGATTATTGCCGGGCCATGCTGCATCCTGCTTAGCATCAGGGAATCATTTGGGGAGAGAGACTCAATTTCATAAAAATGATTTTCGAGAGCTGTTTTGTGAATAGTAGAATGTTGGGGATTTTTTTTTCCCTTTCACCCAAAATGAATAAAAACTTTATGTTCAATGTGGTACTTAGGTATTGGTTTTGTTAATTTCTTAAAACAAATTGGCTCCCCAGTAAATCCCAAACTTGGACAGGCACATTAAGCTAGCAGTGGGGAGGCTATGTGAGCATGATTATCCTGTAAGAGAATTCCCAGAATTTCATCCAAACTGTGATTTGTTCTGTTATAAAAGGCCTATAAAAGCCAGTATAGGAATTCCTGCAGGAAACTCAAGTGTTTAAATATCTGCAATTACTCTCTCATCATTAAAGAAAGATATGAAGGACAGGACATTAGCTAGCAAGAGCCAGCGCGAGGTGTGGCATGAGCGATAAATCCTGTGGGCCTGTGACACAAGCGGACCTTGAGGCATGCTCACAAATCAGTTCGTGGCTCACACTCTCTTAACTGGCTGGGAGGTGTGAGGTCTGGGAGGGGGCAGTGGAAATCAGCAATGGAAACTGCAAAGGCTGGCTCTGGTGGCCCTCCCCTGACGGGGCTCTACATCAGCAGTGGTCACCTGCTCTCTCAAGAAGCAGTGTTGATGGCAGCCACAAACATAGACTTTCACACTGGCCAATACACCATTCACAGACACCATGCATTCTGGAACTGATTCTCCAGGCTTCGGGCTCTGCTGCTGTGTTGACCTTATTGTCCTGAGTACAGCTTCCTGAGTGACCAGAGACAATGTCTTTTACTGAAAGTTCTGTCTTTAAGTGATAAGTCCTGCAGTGCTGTCTAGGGACACTCTTCCAGCTAGCCCAGCAGCTGTGTGTCACAGGTGAGGGTGCCAAGGCCCACCTGGACAGACAGACCAGCTCTGTTTCTCAAGTGAGCTCTCCCAACCCTGGCAGAAAAGCCTACTCTAGGAATCCTTGCCATTGTGGCACTTGGAAGACCACCCACCTTCCTTAGGAATCACTTGTGAGGAGAAGTACTATATAGCTCATAGCAAAAGTAGTCAAGTCACAGACCTGGGACCCAAAATGGCATCTTTTCCCATTGCCTCTATCAATTTGCAGATACCTGGGCTTCCAGGTTGACCCCTCTTTATTCTTCCAATATCTTTATAACTAGTTTCCTAAAGTAACCCCGAAGATGGGCTTCTCAGAGCTCCTTCACCCAGGAGCTGTGTGTGGTGGTCCCCAACTCCTCCCAGGAATACCAGAGGCACTTCAAGAATATATTTTGAATGGACAATGAATGGCCTTCAGGGACACATGGTGAGTGTGCACTTTTCCCTGAAGACTACGTGTTGAATGTTGGTTAATCTGCCCAGAGTCTCCTCAGAGACTTTCTGGGAAGTAGAATAGGGCCACACCTGAGGAGTGCTCACAGTCAGCTTGCCTGGGAGTGTAGGGTCCCAGCCACCAGCCTGACCTCCCAGGGACGAGGATGACATCAGCCCCTGGGATGGGATCCCAATCAGCAGGCGCCAGGGCTCTGGATGTGCTCTGACTCTATGAATTATCCTAGTGCCCCTTGCCCCCCAGTACCCAGCCCCCTGGAACTTGAAGCAATATTTTGAGGGCTCAAAGCAGACAATAAGAGAGACAGTGGAAACACCCATAGCATAGGAGAGTGTGAGCCCCCAGAATGCCTGTGTAGGTCAGAGATGACAAATGGCAGAGCCCTGAAGGTGTGCAATCCATTTATTGATCTCAAGCCCTCCCTCCTCTTGTCCTGTGGGACTCTAGGGAGAGAGAGTCACAGATTCTTAGGGCTGAAATTGTGCAGGAAGGACACAGGTTTCCTATTGGCCAGACATCTGAGGCAGCGTGGCCAAAATATGGAGCCCATTACCGGGAAATCTGGTTCATGTTTCTGATGGAGACAAATAGCCTCTCTTGGGTTGACAGTCTGGGTCTCTGGGTCTCTGGTATACCCCACAAGAGTAGGTGCCCCTTCTCTCCCTGGCTGCCTGATGTGCCAGAGCCAGGGTTGTAGAATAACAAAAACCAGGAGAATGGACAATAGAAAAACTTGACAAGGACTGACTGTATTGGCTGTATGCTAGATTCTCTCTCTCTCTCTCTCTCTCTCTCTCTCTCTCTCTCTCTCTCTCTCTGTCCTCTCTCTCTCTGTCCTCTCTCTCTCTCTGTCCTCTCTCTCTCTCTGTTCTCTCTCTCTCTCTCTCTCTCTCTCTCTCTGTCCTCTCTCTCTCTCTCTCTCTCTCTCTCTGTCCTCTCTCTCTCTGTCCTCTCTCTCTCTGTCCTCTCTCTCTCTGTCCTCTCTCTCTCTCTGTCCTCTCTCTCTCTCTCTCTCTCTCTCTCTCTGTCCTCTCTCTCTCTGTCCTCTCTCTCTCTGTCCTCTCTCTCTCTCTGTCCTCTCTCTCTCTCTGTTCTCTCTCTCTCTCTCTCTCTGTCCTCTCTCTCTCTCTCTCTCTCTCTCTCTCTGTCCTCTCTCTCTCTGTCCTCTCTCTCTCTCTGTCCTCTCTCTCTCTCTGTTCTCTCTCTCTCTCTCTCTCTCTCTCTCTCTCTCTCTGTCTGTCTCTCTTTTCTTCCTTTCTTTCCTTTTTGTTCAGTACTTGAGGCAGGGCCCTCACATTGCGCTATATCCCCAGCTCCTTTTATTTAATTTTATTTTCTTTTTATTTACAGACAGGGTCTTGCTAAGTCATGAAGTTATCAGGACTGCACTCAAATTTGTGATCCTGCTGCCTCAACCTCCCCGAGTGCTAGGGTTATAGGCGCGCATCACCACATCCAGTTTGCTGAGAACACTTTTTATCACGTTTGCTGACTGAGTTGATCACTAGAAGAGGCACCATGGAATCGATGTTTCTGTTTCTAGCTCTATGGATTGTAACAGGTCACTCAACCCCACCAGGCCTCCATGTTGTTGTCTGTGAAACAAGAGTGGTTTCATATCACCCCCTCGCCCTTGGCCAAAGGAAACAAATAAAATCTTTCCCAAGTGCATAATTTCTCAATCCACTCATTCTTTCCAGAACCAGCTCCACGGAGGTTTATGGGAATCAGTCCCAAGAACAAAGAGGGAAAAAAAAATGAAAATTTAGCATTCTAAACTGCAGAGCGAAAGACTTATTCTGCAAAGGGCCAGACAATCAAAACTTCAAGTTTCACACCCCCAAGGTCTCTGATGTAACGACTCAGCTCCACATATGGAAAACTATGATATGTAAATGAACGTGTGTGGTTCTATCCCAGGAATACTTTGTTACAAAGACAGACCAGCCTGGCAGGGCGCTGGCTACAGACCCCAGGCCAGAATTTGTTTACCGCGTCTTAATTCACCAATGCATATTTCCCATTCCTGTCAAGGCATAAAAATAAGGAATTACTTCAAAGTGGTTCTGTGATGTAGAAATCAGATAATGTCATCTCTCCTCCAAAGAGCTTTCCATTTCAGAGATGTCCTAAACAAAACAAGGTGACACTAACCAAGCTGTTTGAACTACGAATAATAGAAGATCTCTAATTCTCGTAAGTGGATGAGCCTGGGGTTTTAATCTTAAACATAGGGAGTTCATGAATGCAAGTCTCTGGCATGGTTTACTGAATTATAATTGACAAAAGAAACAGTAAAAATAGATTAATGCTAACATGAGTGATCAATTTTCCCCTGAAGTACCATGCAGGATTACTCTGCACAGTTACTTCATTCTTAAGGCTTCCCTCTGACAGGCTCAGACCCTCTAGAGTAGGCACCGGAATTCCTTGTACTGCACTGGGGTGACGGTACCATGTTTCAAAGTTATTCAGAACCTGATTGGCCGTGTTCTTGCAATACATTTTCCTAACCTCAAGATAAAGATCCATGCATCTCTTTACCCTTTAAACAAAAAAGCTATTGTAATAGCATGTAGCGTGAGGCATGGTCTGAATACCAAAACCTGTACATGCGCTGCTAAACTGTTTAAGTATGGAAGAAGTAGTGTCTAATAGCATCAGGAAATTGAAATTTAAAAATTTTTCTCACTCACTTATTTGATGAGAACTGGGGATGCTGACAGGTGAAGCAGAAAGCCATTTTTCAAGTTAAATGCCAAGTGGTTATATAGCATAATATTCAGTCAAAATTAACCACCTCACTGCTGTACTGACACCCAGCGTATTTAATGCCAACTGTTCCTGCAAAGAAAACGGCAGTCCTTCGGGAATGCCTGCAGAGGGGGAAAGAAACTGTTATTAATACTTCAGTTACTTGGTAGGCGCCCCAGCCCTCTGAGTGGGAGAAAAGGACTGGCAGTCACCCCGACTCTTGCAGCCACTGCAGAGGAGCTGAAGTTGCTGTGCGCCACCTGGAGCCCCTCTGAGTATTCCAAACCAAACCCCGGACATTTCTGGGTTTGCATATGCTTCACGCAGTCTCCCCACAGGCCAGGTAGACACCTGCTTGCAGGCTTAGGGGCCTGGGAGGTAAAGAGACTGTTACGGATTAAAAACTGGTGGTCAACTTAACTCCAGCTGGATTAAATCAGCTTGGTGCTAACCAACCGTAGATGGTCCACCTGAGGGAAGTTGCTAGCATAGAGACGCGGAGAAGATGAGGGAGGTGTTATAGGTTCTCCTACGTGTTGCTGTTTGAGCCATTGGTTCTCCTGGAGGAGCTCGTCATGACTAGCTTCCCCAGTGTGAGTTCGACCCTTGACATTGGAAGAGCTCGGGACCTTGTTGGTGAGAGTGGCTGTGGTTCACTTTGGGGAGGCTCTGGTCCTATCATCCAGCATTGTTTCCTGGCTCTGGAGCCGGAGACCTGTGCTGCTTGATCTCCAGGACAAACTGGTCATACTGGCTTCCTGGCATGTACTCAAT